AATGCTAATGGTCTCAATCCTCTAATCAAAAGACGCCAGCTAACAGATTGGATTAAAAAACAGGACTCATCTATTTGTTGCCTTTCAAGAGGTGCACCTCACTGACAAAGACAAACAGCTTAAGGTAAAGGATGGAAAAAGGCATTCCTTCCAAGGAACTTCAACAATCAAGTCTAGCAGTACTAATATCTGGTAAAATAGACTTCAAACCAAAATTGCTCAGAAGAGAGAAAGAAGATGACTTCATATTGATTGAGAAAACAATCCATCAAGAGGATACTATAATTCTAAACATATATGCAGTGAATATTCATATATCCAGTTCATAAAGTAAACACTATTGGATATAAAGGCACATACTGTCCTAAACATAATAATTCTGGGTACTTCAGTATTTTGCTCACCAATAGGCATGTCAGCCAGACCTATATTTTTTTAAATCCAGAAACTGAAATAGTTTAATGATGTGCCTTAAGATCTTGGAAAAACAAGAACAAGCCAAACTCAAAATCAGTAGATTGAAAGAAATAATAAAATTCAAAACAAAAAGTAATGAAATGAAAAAAAAAAGAGTAATACCAAGAATTAATTAAACAAAGAATTGGTCCTTTGAAAAGATAAATAAGTTTGGTAAGCCCTTCACCAAACTAACTACTAACAGAAATGGGGTGGGAGGAAGAGAGCACCACCCACCACTGCACCACTGGACATATAATCCCAGCACTCCGGAGGTGAAGCAGAGGATCACAGTAAGTTTAAGGTCAACTTGGGCTACATAGTAAGTTGGGCTGCAGTGTGCGACTCTGTTTTTTTTTGGGGGGGGGGGAGTTGAGGATGAGGGAGATCGAGAAAGAGAAAGCCAGACTAATAATAAAAATTCAAAGAATTTGAGATGCAAAAGGAGACATTAAAACAGATACCAGTGAAATTCAGAGGTTCATTGGGGCATACTTTGAAAACTTGTATTAAAATGAATTAGAAAATGAATGCCTATGACCTACCAAAAGTAAGTCAAGAGGATTTAAACAACTTAAGTAGATATATAATGAGAAATGAGATTGGAACAGTAATAGTCCTCACCTCCCCACTGGCAGAAATTTGGGAAAAAAAAAAAAAAAAGCCCATGCCCAAAGGATTCACAGCTGAATTCTATCAGACCTTTAAAGAAGTAACACCAACAACTCCTAAAGTAGTCTGTAAAATGGAAAGGAAGGAACATTTCCAAACTCAGTTTTACAAAGCTAGGATTACCCAAATGCCAAAAACTGAAAAAGAACTCAACAAAAAAAGAAAATTATTGGCCTGTTTTCCTGGTGAACATGCATGGAAAAATTCTTAATGAGCTGCTTGTAAACTGAATTCAGCTAGCTGCACCATGACCAGGTGTTCTTCATTTATATTTTTCTGGATGCAAGGATGGTTCAACATTTAGAAATCAGTATGTTGATGTAATACATTAATAGACTCAAGGACAGAAACCCCATGATAACCTCAGTAGATGCAGGAAAGACATTTGACAAAGTCCAACTAAAATCCCCGAAGAAACTTGGAGTAGAAGGAACATACTTCAACATAATAAAAACTATATATGACAGATCTATAGTTAATATTATGCTAAATGAGGAAGATCTCAAAGCATTTCCACCAAAATCAGGACAAGACAAAGATACCTACTTTCTCCACTCTTAATATAATGCTTGAAGACTTAACAGCAATTAAGTCAAGAGAAAGAAATAAAAGGTATACAAATAGGAAAAGAGGTCAGATTATCCTTATTTGCAGATTATGTGATGTATATATAAGAGACTCTAGAGACTTCACCAGAAAACTTTTAGAACTGATACCCACTTTCAGCAAAGTAGCAGGGTGCAAAGTCAACATGTGAAAATCAGTAGCTTTCATATATACCTATAATAGACATGCTAGAAAGAAATTGGGAACTCACAATAACTTAATAAAAAACATACCTAGGAATAAACCTAACCAAGAAAGTGAAAGACCTGTATAATGAAAAGTTTAAAACAATGAAGAATTGAAGAAGACAATGGAAGACAAAAAAACTTCTCATGGTCCTAGATCAATAGACTTAGCACACTGAAAATGGATATGTTATCAAAATCAATCTACAGATTCAATGTGATCTGTATCAAAATTCCTAAAATACTTTTCACAGAAATGGTCAAAAAAATCTAAAATTCATAGGGAGGTATAGAAGACCTTAAATAGCCAAACAATCCTGAGCAAAAAGAATAATGCTAGGGATATCACAATATCTGATTTCAAGTTCTTCTACAAAGCCACAATAACTAAACAGCATGACACTGGCCTAGACACATAGATCAATGGAATAGACTAAAGGACTCACATTACTAAATTCACACAGCTACAGCTACCTGGTTTTGACAAAGTGTCCCGAAACACATTGGAGAAAAATTCAACAAATGGTGCTTGAAATATCTGGATATCCATATGTAGAAGAGTGAAACTAGACCCCTGTCTCTTGTCCTGCACACACACACACACACACACATCAATTCAAAATGGATCAAAGATTTTAATACAAGACTTGAAAGTCTGAACTGTTAAAAGCAAGCATAGGGAAAGTACTTCAAGATACAGGCGAAAGGAAGGACTTTGTGGAAAAGACTCCGGTAGCTCACTGAATAATACAAAGATCTGAGAGATGGGATTGCATGAACTCAAAAAGCTTCTACACAGCAAGGAAATAACAAGTAAAGAAACAGACCACAGGGACTGGAGAGATGGCTCAGTGGTTAAGAGCACTGACTGCTCTTGCAGAGGACCCAGGTTCAATTCCCAGCACCCACATGGCGGCTAACAACCATCCATAACTCCAGTTCCAGGCGATCCAATACCTTTTTCTGATTTCCGTGGGCATTGTATGACATAGATTTACACAAATGCAGGCAGTATACTCATACACATAAAAATTTTAGGGGGGGCTCTTTTTGAGACAGGGTTTTCCTGTAGCCCCAGCTGGCCTGGAACTCATTATGTAAACTAGGCTGGCCTTGAACACACAAAGATCAGCCTGCCTCTGCCTACCGAGTGTTGGGATTAAAGGCCTGTGCCACAATACCCAGCATAAAAAAATTTTTTTTAAAGAAACAGACTACAGAATGGGGGGGGGCGGTCTTTACTAGCTCAACATCTGACAGAGAAATAATATCTAGATAATATAAAGAACTCAAAAAAACTAAAAATTTATAAATGGGAATGAAATAGTTCCCAAAAGATGAAGTATAAACAGCCAATAAACATATGGAAAAATATTCCTTAGCCATCAGGGATATGCAATTAAAACTGCACTGAGATTCCATCTTATCCCACTGAGAATGATTATCACTAAGCAAATAAACAAATGCGGGCGAGGATGTGGAACATGGGGAAGATTGGAGGGAAAAGTCTTATACACAAGTGGTGGGAATGTAAATTGGTCTGGGCACTATGGAAATCAGTAAGGAAGTTCTTCAAAAAAACAAAAATAAAACTACCATTTTATGACCCCGCTGTACCATTCCTAGGTATATACTGAATGGACTCTAAGTCAACATACCACATAGATACTTGCACATGTATGTTCATTGAAACACTTCACAGTAATTGAGTTATGAAACCAGCCTAGGTATTTGCCAACAGGCAAACAGATAAACGAAATGTAATACATATATGCAGTGGAGTTTTATTCAGCCATAGAGAATGAAATTATGCTCTTTGCTGGAAGACAGATACAACCAGAGATGATCATATTAAGAAAAATGAGCCCAACTCAGACAGATAACATGTATTTTCTCTCATTTCTAGATCCTAGATGCATCAAACAATATATGTCTGTGTGTGCATAGGTACATATATTTTTTCCTAAATCCAAAAGTTTTTGTTTTTTTTAATTTTCTTTTTATTTTTTCATTTTTAAATGAACTCATGAATTTTTATGAATTTACTGTGTTTCAGTGCATTGCAATCAGTATTCCTTTTGCTGCGCAAATTCTCTCATCATTGAGAGGACCCTTTCAAGACAGGTCACTCCTCAGTAATCATTAGAAACTTCCTTACTTTCTTATACAGCATGATGTTCCAGACCTGCCTGAGCATTTCATTAAAGAAGCTGGATTCCTTTTAGTATAGCAAAACTGTCGCTTCAGCAATAAACACATACTTTTAGTATCTTATTTTTTTAATTATAAGTGAATCATAATAAAAAATGTAACCAAAAAAGCTGTTGTTGAGATGGAGATGTGCTCACTGTCTCTTAATGGCATGTAGGAGACTGATTATTCCATGCTTCAGAGTTCGTGGCTGCAGTTGAGAATCATTCTGTGAGTCTTAAAATACCCCAGTGGCTAGTCAGTTGCCTGGACCAATTTCATGAGACTCAATAGGAGCAGCATTAGGTACCCAGACTTTTCGAAGCTTCCATGTGCAGCCAAAGTTGAGAATGCTTGTTAGCAATAACATAACCAATTTAAGTTAAAAACAAAGAGGGGCTGCAGAGATAGCTCAGTGGGTAAAGTATTTCTTGTACAAATGTGAAAACCTGAGGTCAGACCCCACAGCACCCATGTAAAAGAGCCAGGCATAGTGGCATGTATCTGTAACACCAGATCTGGGGTTGGGGGAAGAGATAGGCAGATTCTGAGGGCTCACTAGAGAGCCAGTCTGGCTGAAACAAGTTCAGGGAGAGACCCTCTCTCAAAAAAATGGAAAATAATGTAGAGTGATAGAAGACACTGAACATTGTCCTCTGTCCTCCACATGTGCACACTTGGGTGAGCACACCCAGACACACACACACAGGGGCAGGAGGGAGATGCACACAAAGTTTTGTTAGTCCCAAATATGTTGGGTTCCAAACTCTTCTAGATAACGTTTCTTCTAGTAATTTGACTGTAAGGCCTTTTAAAATGAGACTCTTATAAGTCACTCATTTCTACATACATGTGCAAATCTATAGTATGTCTCCTGTTTCTGTTTTACAGATCTGAACAAGTACCAGATTGGGGCTTAGTGAGGACACAATGCCAGTATGTGAAAGAGCATGATAGTTCCCTAAAGGAAGAGGTAGGTAAGGCTATTAGTCAAAAACAAGGACTAGTAATTTTTATTAAAAAATAATAAGTTCCAAAGTTATTTAAGTTATTCATTTGTGGGAATAGTATATTCTTAATGATAAACATACTTGAAAAATCAGAACAGTAATAAGTAAAATTTTATGACTGACTAATATATTTTTAACATCCTGATCTTGCATCTTTTGCATAAAGTTTTGTGGAGGATACAACTTCTGACCTAATGTCAATTCAGGTCCCAGAGATAGCTTAAATACATGTATGTGCCACAACATTTTCAGGGTGGTTTAGAAGTATCTGTAACACTCTGGTTTTCTCTCTATACTGATATATTTTTAACTTTCTGATCTTATACTTTTGCATAATGTTTTTTGGAAGAATCCAACTCCTGACAATGTTAATTCAGGTCCCAGAGATAGCTTAAGTACATATATGTACCACATTTTCAGAGGAGTTTAGAAGCATCTGTAACATTCTGGTTTTCTCTCTGTATTCCATACTTTAAAATATTGTAAGATCATTGATGTTAATCCAACAAATATATTTTTGATCCATTCTTGTACACAGGTACCAACTCATATCCATTGGAAGGAAAGAAATCCATAAAATTTGGCTCTCTTCTGGGGGTGGTTAACATGATGCATGTAATAAGATGACAAAAAAAAATTGCAGGGCTTCAGAAAGGGAGCTCAGCCACCTGAAGAAGCAGTAAGGGAGACTTTATAATGGAGAAGAGCATGTAAGATAACCCTTAAAAACTAGGCTGTTGACAGAGTGAGAGTGGGGAAGATGTTTGGGGCCACAGGAAAGGACTTTCATGAACCTAAGAGCAGACTAGGAAACCCAATGTATATTCAAGCAATAGAGCCATTCTTTTTTATTTTTGAAAGATTTAATTATGTGTATGTCTATGATGGGGAGTGGTATGGGCAAGTGAGTACAGGTCCCCACAGAGTCCAGAAGAGAGCATTGGATCCTCTTGTGCTATAGTTACAGATGGTTGAAAGCCACCCAGTGTGGGTGCTGGGTACCAAACTTGGTCCTCTGCAAGAGTAGTATGCATTCTTAACCACTGAGCCATCTTTCTAGCCCCACAATGGAGACATTCTTGTGACAAGAGTAGACTCAAGTCTGGGATTATAGAAGGAGAAGCCTGGGAGATCATTTGGGGCTATAGTGTGTAATATTCTGGCCCCACACTAGGGAAATTGTGTTTAGTTTAGTAGGTTTTGGAAAGGTCTTGTAGGCCTTTGAGCAGGACTAGAATACTTTCTCCAGACCCCTGGAGAATTTCATCTGTTTGGTTTTGGACAGTGGAAGAGGGGGTCCTGTCAGGATTCAGGTAAGAGGTAGAAAGAGTCTAACTTTGGAGCTGGTTCGGAGGGAGAATTTAAGCCTGCTGAACAGATATTGGACACAGTGGAGCAATTCCCAAGGAAAGCACTAGGAGGGAACCAGAGCTCAGATTTAGAGTGCCCATCAAAGCAATTGTCATTTCCTGGAAAAGTCAGGTGACACTTTGCTTCTAAGGTGAACAGCCTGTGAATTTATTTCAAAGAGTACCTCAGTCCTCCTTAACCCCTCCTTTCCTTGCCTCTCCAATGAAAAGGAAGTAGACCTCTTTTAGCATTTCAGATATACATGAATATGGTATTCATATGAACCCACCAACCCAGTGCCCATAGTCCAGATTCACACCTTTACATCATTGCCATTACACCCAGTAAATTTCAAACTCTTGAGCCCCTTCTGCCCCTCCACTTCCTATCCCCCTGTCCCTTTTCTCAGTTCTTCCCTTTACCCATCTTTTCTCCTTTCTTCTGTCCTTTCCTCTTTTGCTTCTCCTAATTCTCTCTACCCCTTTCCTTAGGGGGAAGAAATAAATTATTGCAGTTACAAATGCATCCTCCTATGTGCTGCTTAATGATTCTATACCCTTTTCAAAGCTAATCTTGTATATATCCTTCCTGTGCATTTTCACTTTACTACTTTATGTATGACTCTATAATAACCATTGATTTTGTTCCACACATGGTATCATTTGTGCTTTCAGATCCATTCCATCCGTGTTAAGGAATATACTTTTTTTTTTTTTTTAAAGACAAATGGCTGGTGTGTAGCTCTGGCTGGCCTCAAACTCACAGTCCTCCTGCCTCAGTCTTCTGACAACTGGAATTACAAGCCTACACCACTACAACCTGCCTATTTAGCACTATTTTGTAATAACATTGTTTTCTGTCTTTGTTCGAGTATATCAATGACATCTGTGTTGAAGATGAAATGAGTGTTGATCAACTGTCCTTTGCAATTTTTTTTTAATTTTTAAAAATCTCAGAAACTTTAGTTTTGGAAATGTTATAGTAGAGGGTTAGTAAATAGTTCTAGAATTCAAACAGACTGTGTTTCCATTCCTGGCTCTAGAATTCTTGTCATGGTTTATCATAGAACAATTATGTGACTTAAGCATAAATCTACCACTAAGCTACATCCCTAGCCCTCATCATCCTTTCATGATTAGTGAAATAAATTATCTGAGTTGTTTCTGCGTGTGGAACAGTGTACATACACATTTAGTAAATACTGTGGGTTAAATATCTCTCTTTAGATTAAATCTTAAAAAGTTATTTTGAAAATTTAAGAAAGCTTGATTAGCAATTATTTTGTTGAGAGTCTAGTGAGGCTCAGAAGTATTTACTTTGATCTCTTGGATAAATGACTAATTAAAATGGCCATATGTAAATGATGTTTACCTGTGAGTCCCTGTGCTATCTGCTCTAGTCAATCCCTTCTCATGAGTAAATACATCACCAAAGCTGTGGAAACTCAGTGTCCCCTGGAGGCCAGATAAGATCTCTCAGCACCTGCATAACCTGTTAAGCAATTACATAATTGAGTTTCATGCTTTTAATTCAGGAAAAATTGTAATTACTTATGTAGAAAAAAATGATTTGGGTACATCATTAAAATACAAGGTGGCTTAATATTCCTTTCTCCCAAGTGATGTCTCTTTCCACATGGGAGAACTCTGACACAGAAGAGAAGCTTACTGATGTCATTCAGAACAGGTCCAGTCCTGCCCCACACAGATCTTATTCCACCAGGAAGACATATTCCCTAAGTGATGGATTGTTTTCTTATATTTCCTGAATATTTGTTTGCTGGCTTTTGTGAATATATGCTCATTTCTTTTAATTGCTACATGAATAAAATCCCTTCCTTAAACTAAAATATAACTTGTAACAGTGCCTGTGTATCTCTCTAAACTTAAAAATACTTCACTGTGTCCAGAAGGAAGGATTTTAAAGAAGAAGTAGTTGAATCTGTGTGCCAGGGACTCTCATCCACTGCCATTGCTTCTCAGTCACTGTGTTAATCGATCGTTTGCATATAGAAGGGAATTTAATTTCACCATATGCTTTCATACTCAGTTTTTCTTTTAATCCATACTGCCCTTACAGAAGTCAGATTCCTTTAGATTTGGATGGTCTCTTTAAAAAAATAAGCAGAAAATAAACCAAACTTTGAAGTGTCAAATAAAAACTACCCCTGTCCTACTACCTCTATATAATCCTGACATTGAGGTGTATGGCCTTTAATATTTAAAATATTGACAAGCAGGGCTAGCATGTAACTCAATGGTAGAGTACTTTCTTGGCACACACAAGGCTCTGAGTTTGACCCACAGTACCCACACACACAAATTGACAAGCATGTGTTATATTGTTGTATATGAACCTTCTTTTTCCTACTTGTCACAATATTAATTTCCTTTAATACTAACACATGTTCTATTTCATTTCAAATGACTTTACACAGTCCCCTGTCCATTCTTCTTTTGGTTGCCTATTGGAACGTTTAAATTTATTCTTTTTCCTTCACTAAGCAAGTTTCAGAGAGCATCTGTTCAAGTTTTTCAAATATTCATGATATTTTCTTGGAATGAATTCCTAGATATAGAATTATCAGGTCAAAGGTATCTTTCAGGTTTTTGGTATGCATTACCAGATCTCACTCTGGAAGGGTCATGGAGTTAGCAATAATGGATGAAAAATATCACTTTCTGAAACTAAATCATCAGCTCCTTTTTTGAAACCAATTTGAGAGGTGATAATGATATACGATTTTTTTGTTCATTTGACCTTATTAGAATTGTGGTCAACCATTTTTCCTATATTTGTTAACCATCTGTATTTCTTCTTTTATAATTTACCAGTTTGTGCTCTTTTTTCATTTTTCTATTTGTTTTTTCTTACTGATCTATAAGAACTTTTAAAATACAAATTGAGCAATTTTAAGAATACTACTCAGTGAAATTGATAGAACAGTTTATCTGCTGTTAGATCTGAAATATGGAGATGTCAACACCACTCATTCTGTAGACAGTATATGCACTGCCATTAAAGTCCAAATCTATCTCCTGGTGCTGGGAAGGCAGAGAAGTGGGGAGCTCACTTGTTAGTATTGCTTAGGCTTCAAACCACTGAGAACAATGAAACACTCTCCATTTTCTCTTCATGAGCCCCAAAGGCATCTCTAATGTGAAGAGAGCCTTAGTAGCATACAGGCTTAAGCCTGTGCATAGTCTATTCATGAGCATAATCCAAAGGTCCCTGAAAAAACTGTTGTTTCAGAGGGTGAGCTGCAGTCTGCAGAACCCATTTGTCCCAAAGTGAGATGTGCAAAGCAGCTTCTTCTTATAACTGTGCTCTGGGCTTTTGTTCCTTTGCAGCTATGAGGTAGTGTCCTCACTAATAGATAAGTTCTTTCAAATTGGGGATTCCTCAGAAATACACATTTCTGGAACATCTGCAAAGTATATATCTTAAGAATGTATTACAGAGCTTGGGAGATGGCTCAGTCAGTAAAAAAAAAAAAAAGACCTGAGTTCCATCTCCAGATCCCATGTGAAAATAAACTGAGCATGATAAAGCTGTACTTGTAATCCCAGTGCTAGAGAGGCAGAGATGGTTGGATCCCTGGGGCTGCTGCCCTGCCATCTAGCCTACTTGGCACACTCCAGGCCACTGAGAGACCTTGTCAAAAAATCAGGAGGCAGAGGCAAGAGGATCTCTTTGAGATGGAGGCAGGTCTGGTCTAAATAGTAAGTTCCAGACTAGCCAGGGCTACTTGGAGACTTTGCCTCGAAAGAAAGAAAGGAAAGTAAGAAAGGAAGGAAGAAAGGAAGGAAGGAAGGAGGGGGAAGAAAGAAAGAAGGAAGGAGGGAGGGAGGGAAAGAGGGAAGAAGGGAGGGAGGGAGGGAGGGAGGAAGGAAGGAAGGAAGGAAGGAAGGAAGGAAGGAAGGAAGGAAGGAAGGAAGGAAGGAAAGAAACAGGGGCTAGAGAGATGGTTTAGTGGTTTAGAGCGCTGGCTGCTCTTTCAGAGTACCTGGGTTCAGCTCCTAGCGCCTACATTGCCTGCTAACGACCATCTGTAACTCCAGTTCCAGTTCCAGGTGGTCTGATGCCCTATTATGACTTCCATGGGCACTGCACTGCACACACATGGTATACTTACATACATTCAAGCAAAACACCCATACACATAAAATAAAAATAAATTAAAAAAATTGAAGGAAGACAGTGCTTAAGAAATGACCCAGGGTTGTCTTCTGGATTCTACATGTGTGCACACACACCTGCACCTGCTCACATCTACCTGTAAACATATCCAGGTGTGCACACATACACACAATGTATTAGATGTTTTTCCTTTCTCGGCGGAAGTTTTTGTTTTTTTGTTTTTTTAAGTAGAAATCCCATGACTGGTTCTTGTCCAAGGGCTGACTTGTGTCTCTGTCCATTTATTAGCATTCCCTGTTTTTCAGGGGCATATATTGTTGATTCTTTCACAGATGATACACTGGGCAAATACACTGTTGTCTGTTGCCTCCATGATCCAATAGCATCAAGCTACCTATTTCCATGTTGCAATTTGACCATCCACCAAAATCTTCAGAAATATAAAATACTCATCTTTGAGAAATTATCTATAGAATTCTCTTCAAAGATTAATCCTTTTATGAACATTTCTATCAGAAAACTAAAAACTCCTGGAGATGAATATTTAGTAGTGAAGAAAAATGAGATAAACTATGCAAAATAAACCAACAATGTCATATGTCCACCACAATATGACTGTCACCATGGAAAAGAGGGCCTCACACAGTGGCAATGGTGTTATTTTTATCAAGCACACAGGGACTTATTAGACATTTGTTCGTAATATTATTACATTTTATTCTGTGGTCTTTTGAAGCCCAATTCAAACTAAGCTCAAGTCATTTCTTATATGAATTTGACACATAGCACATCAATTGTGTGTCATCTGTGAAAGTGTCCATCTAAATGATCAACAGGGAGACCAGTTCTCCAAAGCAGAGTTCATTTGGGACACGAAGATTTGTAGTCCTAATACACCTGCTGTGGTAGACATAGGTGCACCAAAAGGGGTTGGGGCAAAGGGAAACTTTCAAAGAGAAGTGTTTGGGAAAAAGGAGGCATCTACTTAACTACCTTGAAACAAAGGCCTCTGGCTATAGGAGTTTGTGTTTACCTCAGTAGTAGAGGCAGCAGTCGTTAGGCAAGTGTTCTTTGTGCAAGCAGTTTACTTGGAATACTGCAGGTGGTTTATCTGTAATACTGCAGCTTTGAGGACTTCTTTGCATAGACCCTGCTATAGGCATATGTGCAAGAGGGCTCATTTTTCATGGTCTCTTGGCTCCAGTTTGTTAATCTGACATAGTGACTCCACTTCAGTCCTGGTAACTTGCATTAGGGGAGTAAAGAAATGAAATCTAAGACACTAGTATTCCAGAACAGTGTCAGCATTCAGGGAAGGCAGGAATTATGAAGGTACTTGTTTTAAATTGCTTAGAAACCTATTAAACTTTATGATCTACAAATTCTACTGTAGGTAGTAGGAAAACTTGAACTGTCCTTTAACAATTTTGTTTTCAAAATGTGTGCTAAGACTGTTATTAATAGGTCAAGAAATTACTTATATCTATTATGTAAGATATCATAATTTAGAAAAACAGAGTTCTCCCGGAAATCCTAGATACAAGCCAAACATTTTAAAGTGTGAATTTTTAAAAAATCTTCTAAATCTTGTAGTAAAAGCTAAAATTTTCATTTTCTCAGGCTTGTATCTAGGATTTCTGGGTGCAAGCAGACAAGATCAGGATGGGTCAAAAAGCATATGGACAGGTGTTCTCTCCCTAGCAGTCTTGAGAATTGAACGCAGTAAAGATGTGGATATATGCTGCTGGGACATCATGATGACAGCCAGTGATGAGAGTTGGCCTGGGCCTAGACTTCAGGAGGACTCCATGTCTATATCCCAGTCTGTAGAAACAAGTTCTGAGCAGGTCATCCTCACAGAGTTGTCACAACTGATGTAAAATCCAGGGATGATTTATTCAAATAGAGGAAAAGGTATTACTACTCACTGGGACTGCACTACAAGATCCTGGCTATAAGGTTAACTTGACACCAAGTTTATTGGCCAAGGACTACACCTCCTCAACCCACCACCTCAAAACCAGCTCCTCCAGCTCCTGTGGGTCCAACAGCCCAAAGGAGGTCAGAAGGAAAGAGCCTTGCAAGGATATAAGAGCCAAAGGTAATGGTCTTGAAGAATCTTCTGAGCTAAAAGGTTGAGGGCTGTATCTCCCATGCTCTACTTCAGTGATTCTCCCCTCCAAGCATCTTCACCTTCTTCCATGTTAATCACAAAGAATGATTGCTCTTTTTCCCCATGTTCATGAAACAGATGCTATGATACCCATACACTCAACTACATATAGCCTGGGAAGCTTTGTCCAGTCCTGCTCTTCATATTAGCTTGTGATATCTTGGGTCTCTTTCTTGCAGGGTTTTCTTTTTTTGCCGTTGTCATCAAACAGCAAGTTAGCCACTACCATCATCGCTACCACTGAGGCTGAGCATATCATCACTTTCTAATAGAAAGTGTACACTCTAGCAATGGACAGTGTGATCAGAGATTATCTAGTAAACATCTAACTCTGTAACTACCATATTTTTTATGTCTTGGGAGCAAAGTACTAACCTGGAATTAGAAGACCTGTTAACTTAGGTTCTATTAATTGCTGTTTTTCTTCACCTTACCTCTCACAAAGGCTATGATAAAATCTGTCTCTCATCAATGCTCTTTGAAAAAAAAAAAAGCAGGGAGCAGGTGAGTTTCCCCAGCTACTCAGCAGACTTAAATGCAAGTGTAGACTGTCTTTTTCCTTAATTGAAGTCTTGTTTTTTTTTTTTTTTTTTTTTTTTTGTCTTTTTGTCTTTTTGAGGCAGAGTCTCCCTGTAGCCCCAGCTCTCCTAGAACTCACTATGTAGACAGGGCTGGCCTTGAACCCACAGAATCCACCTGCCTCTGCCTCCTGAGTGCTGGGATTAAGGGCATGCACCACCACTCTTGGTTCTCAATACATCTTTTTAAAAATTTCTTTTTATGTGTTTGTGTGTGTGCCAGCTTGCCTGTATGTGCATCACATGCATGCAGTGTCCAAGGAGGCCAGAAGAGGGCATTGGATTCCCCTGGAACTAGAGCTGCCTGATATGGGTGCTGGGAACCAAACCCAGGTCTTCTGCAAGAGCAAAAAGTGCTCTTAGCCACTGAGCCATCTCTCTAACTTCTGTTCATTGCATCTTTATCAGTCAGTTTTTCTTCCATCTTCCTATTGGGAGAAAGCAGGATTCTTGAGATACAAAAGTAAATCTTTCTTTCAGAACAGTGGTCTGAGGCTCTGAGTTTTGTGTATGTTGAAGGGAGAATAACTAGCTCAGGTAGAGAGGCAACCTCATCTCAGATGTCTACTTCACAAGTAGACCATTTGTATGGAGCATAAGAGTCAGTCTTCAAAAGTATATATTATGAATGAAAATTGTTGTATAGAATTAAAGTGTGCTAGAAGTAACCAGGTGCTATTTTTATCTTGAGGACATTTTAATTTTCGTTAATGTCAGGAAGTAAATTAAATCCTAAGTAAAGCTTAACCTAAAGTTATATTTGAAGTCTGAATCTTTGAGAGCAAGGGGAATGGGATTCCAATTTGTTTTGATTTCTTTGTGCTTTCTTTGAAACACTGTAGGCAACAGGATTATTGAAAAAAGCCCTTATAGAAGAGTGTGACCATAGGTCGGCTATTCACAGTAATGAATCATCTTGCAGCTTGCCATCTATTCTGAATGACAATAGTGGAATAAAGGAAGCAAAACCCGCTCTGCGACTCAACAGTGTTCTTACAAGGGAACAAGGTAACTATTGTTAAACAGTCTGCCCACAGAAAAAGGCGTTCAGAGTCAATGCAACATCTCTTTCTCAAGGCATACCTATATAATACCAGTAACTAGAGGATAGCTTTGGTTTAAGGCATATAATTTGTTTTATATCACTTTCTAGTTCACTCTCTATGTTCACAGCCTGACAGAAATGGGAGACCTAATTGTAGTTCTCTTAAATTTCTAGTGAAATAAATGCTCACAAGTTATGATATCTTTTTTTGCTTTTCTGAGACAGGGTTTCACTGTAACCTCAGCTGGTCTCATACTTACTATATAGACCAGGTTGGCCTCCATGTCACAGAGATCTGCCTGCTTCTGCTTCCGGAGTGCTGGGATTAAAGGCCACACTTGGCTAAGTTATGAAATTTTTTTTAATATTTTATTTAAAAAATTTTTTTTGGTCTTTTTTGAGACAGTCTCTCTGTAGCCCCAGTTGGCCAGGAACTCACTACGTAGACCAGGCTGGCCTCAAACTCACAGAGCTCCACCTGCCTGTGCCTCCAAGTACTGGGATTAAAGGCATGTACCACCACACCTGGCTTATTTTTTTTTTAATTTATTTTATGTGTATAAGTTTTGACTGCATGTATGTGCACCTGTGTGTACAATGCCTGTGGAGGTCAGAAGAGGGTGTCAGATTTCCCTGAAACTGGAGTTACAGATGGTTGTTAACTGCCATGTGGGTGCTGGGAACCAAACCCAGGTCCTCTGCAAGAGCAGCAAGTGTTCTTAACTGCTGAGTCATCTTGCTAGCCCCCAGTTATGAAATCTTAACAAAGCAACTACTTGGCAGTCCCATTTCAACAAGAAATAAACTAACAAAAACAGTAAGTAAAGAGACAGTGAAAAATAAAAGAAATGGTCATTAAAACCCCACGTTTAGGGTTGGAGATGAGCTCAGTGGTAGAGAGCTTGCCTAGCTATATGAGGCCCTAACTTCCATCTCTAGCACTAAAAATCAAATCTGTTCCATAACTTTGGAGTATGTGTTTATTGTGTTTTCAATTCTTAGAAGTTTCAAGTGGCTGCAGAGATGAGAGCAAGGAAGACAGCATGGCTACAGCAACCCCAGTCACAGGTAAAGCTACAAGTGCCTGATGTCTCAAATATAGAATATAGGCTTACTGCATAATCAGAACAGTCTAGGTGAGTTGTCGGTGGGTCCTCGCTAAGAGCCAATATATTCAACTACTGCATTGTAAATAGGAGATAGATTATAAAAACATAGCTTACAAACTATGTCAATACAACCCAAGGTGGCAAACAATTATGTCCTTTGAGCTTTTCATTGTGATGTTAAACATTCACACCTATAAGCATCCTCCATCATGCAGCCTTTCAGAACCAGTGGCCAGGTGAGGACAATCAGTTGGCTGGGGGAGTACCCAGTTAGATGACAAACAATTGGTGTTTCTGATTTTACTCTTCCTTCCTATAGTAATTAAAAGTATACCATATAAAATAAGATCAAGGAAAGTGTACTCGAAAGTTCACTATGTCTCAGTTAAAAAGTCTGTCTCACAATTTCGAATTTTTGCTAATCATGCTTCATCAAGATGTATTAAAATTTCTGCACATGTATTAGGTATGTTTATAGATGGAATCTGAATTATGTCATTACTTTTTTTAGGTTTTGAATATCAGCAGCAGCAATTAGTATTCTAAACAGAATCCTATTTGTTGTACATCTAAATTTACTAGTTCCTTATTTTGTAAAGTGGTATGCTACTTCATTATAAATTCAAAGGTTTGACTTTAAATATTTATACAAGTAAACACACCACTGCACTGAGGTACCAAGGCGTGCATCTGCATACATGGTGGTTTTGCTCTTTGTTTATAAGCAGAGAAGAATAGCTTGCTTTATGGTAATAGAATTCATGGCATGGGTGATTTTTTTTTTAACTCAAGTTTCTGTGATGAACTCTAGTTCTCAAAATGGAGTTTACAAGTAGAGTAATTATTATCTATATAGGTAGTATTTCACTCCAATGTACAGAGATTTTTCTTTAAACATTTTTCCCCAGTGATGTTCATTATGGGTTTGGGTTTTTTTTGTTTTATTTTGTTTTTTGGTTTTTGAGTTTTTAAATTTTCTTTTTGTTTTTATTTTATGTGTATGAGTGTTTTGCCTGCATGTGTGTAGTGCCCTTGGAGGCCAGAAGAAGGCATCTGATCTCCTGGAACTGGATGGTTGTTAGCTGCTATGTGGGTGCTGGGAACCAAACTTGGGTCCTTTGGAAGAATAGCCAGTGTTCGTAACCATTGAGTCATTTCTCCAGCCCCATTCATTGTGATTTTATTCTTCATTTTGAGAAAACTTTGACAGGGTCCCCACTTGACTGTTTGTTGTTGTTAATAGAAGAAACATAGATGATCCCCAAACTGAAGTTCCAAGAAGTCATTTGGTTGTTTTTTTCAAGCATTTACCTTGGAGTGTAGAAATATTAAATGGCTGCTGACTTTATTTCTGTTAATTACTCCTTATAAGCCCATGATAACAAAGTATCTTCTGCAGACTAGAGAATGACCTAGTTGTCTGTACTTAAATCTCTTCAGCGTTCTTTGTAACGTCACTTGCTGTGATAGTCTCAAAATTAATGCATATGGTATTTTTCATTGACTTTCTAAAGGAAGAGATACTTAAGTATAGGATTTCAAATCGTTTTTTCTTCATGCAGAAAGAAGTGTGATATGCTGAAATATAATCAGGGTTGTTTTCCTTTAAGATTTAAAATAAATCGTAATTCTACCAGCCTAGCCTCCATCTATCAATGGTTGACAGTTCAAAGAGAATACTGTGCTTTTTTGTATGCTAAAGTATTAGCCATTAAAAAATAACATGCGGGTCATGGAAAACTTTCCAAAACTCTTTACTTGCTAGAGCATTGCTATTCTGTCCTTGCCATCCATGCCTTAGTCCTTCTGATCCTCTGCCCTATGGCCTCCCACAAAGTTCATGCTTCAGTTCCTCAAGCACTCTTGCTGTATCTATCATCGTGCCTACTTCGGTTTCTTAAACACTTGACCATCATCCTTTCGTTAAATGTTTGTGTCTTTGGCATAATTAGAGATTTAACTTCCATAGAGTTAGAGTCTGCCTACCCTTTATAATAGCTTTGTTAAAGTTTCATGTTTGTATAGATATATGCTGGTTTTGTTTATATGGAATGCATTCCTTCTATAATATTCCAAAGAAAAGAATTTTTCTTTCCAAAGTAAGAATTTTCTTACTCTCTGCTGTTTTTCCATCCTAATGAGTCTCTGTATAAGGAAAGCATATGTACTACCTGACAGGTTGCCTTAAAGTTTAAATAAAATCAGGTGTGGTAGTACAAACCTGTAAAGCACGTGAAAGACTGAGGTAGAAAGATTCTTGCAAGCAATTCTAGGCCAGTCAGAGCTATGTAGTAAAAAGCCTTGTCTCAAAAATAAGTTTAAATGGGAACAGTCATGTGTTTGAAAGTGTCAAACACATAATAGATGCTCAATACGTGTTGTCTGTGATATACAGTAATATGATGGCGGTGCTTCCCAATAGCACTCCTGAATTAGCTCTTTCAAGAAATTGCCACTTGAGAAAACAGCTAATGATTTGAATCTGGAAAGATATTTCCCTCATCAAAAAGAATCTTGAAGAGAGTTTCCTGGTACTTTTGGACTTCTCATTAGACCCATAGGGAAAACCTTAGAGAAAAGTTACAGGCTGGCTCCTGGGATCTCACTGGGGAAGGCTGAATGTCTCTGCCTATGATTGCCAGACACCCTGAGTGACTGTGTACCCAGAGGTGAAGGTACGGCAGGCACTTGGTCTCCATGCAACAGGCCTTCCCTGATGTGCTACCTTATCATTGATGGGCAATGCAGCATTGCCCAAAATGTACTCTGTACAATGCTTCACCCAGAAAGGACTTCAGTGAATGCATACTTTGAGGCCAACCTCCTGTGCGGTCTTTCTCTTTCTATAGTATACATAATACACAGGAGCATGTTGAAACTCTCAGAAGACATTCAGAAAACTGTTTAGAAAATATGAACCTACTATTTCAACTAATGTGCCATGTATTTGAAAATGAAATCCTTAACAGCCAATAAAAATAATATTTTGTGAAGCATGCTATGGAATACACATACACATATATGTGGGACCTTTGTTAAAAAATAATAAGTCAGGGCTGGAGGGATGGCTCAGCGGTTAAGAACACTGGTTGTTCTTGCAGAAGACCCAGGTTCGAATTCCAGCACCCATGTGGCAGCTAACAACTGTCCGTAACTCCAGTTCCAGGGGATCCGACAGCCTCTTCTGTCCTCCGCGGGCATTGCATGACACGGGTGCACTCACATACATGCAGGCAATACACTCATACACATAAAAAAATAAAAATAATAAAGAAAATATTTAAAAAAATAATAAGTCTAGGATCTGGAAATATGGCTTAGTAGTTAAGAGCATTTGCTGTTCTTGCAGAGCACCAGGGTTTGATTCTCAGCACTCACATGACAGCTCACAACCACCTGTAACTCCAGCTCCAAGGTATTAAATGCCCTTTTCAGATCTCCACAGACACCAGGCACTATGTGGTGCACGTACATATTTGCAGGCAGAACACTTATGCAAATAAAATAAATCTTTTTTTGAAAAAACAAGTCTAGGGCCAGAGAGATAACTCAGTGGTTAAGAGCACTGGCTACTCTTGCAGAGGACCTGGGTTTGATTCCCAGCACCCACATTGCAGTTAACAGTCATCTGTAACTCCAGTTCCAGGGGGACCTGACCCCCTTTTCTGACCTCCGTGGGCATTGCATGACACAGGTGCACTTACACACATGCAGGCAATGCACTCATGCACATAAAATAAAAATACTAAAAGTTAATTTTTTTTCAAGACTTGTTATGTTTTGTTTTATTACTATTTAGTAAAACATTTCCACCACATTTAGTTTGCCTTGCAAAGCTACAAAATCCATCCTGTAGAAATAATCTAAACTGTACTTTGCAGGTACAGAGAGAACTTGAAATTGGGACATTGATTAGTGAATCTGAGTGCAGGTGAAGTGACCATGAAGCCCGCAGAACTGAAGCTTTCTGGCCTTCCACTGGCAAAAGGCCCTTCAAAGTCCCTACTGTCCTACTGTAGTCATGATTTCTTGGTTAACAGCTTCCATAGTTTTTTCCTTCATATTTTGTAAATGTATTCTTTATAATCATCTACAGTGATAAATGAGTAAACTTATGAATTTTCCACAAGTATGATATACATTTTTGATTCAGCAGAAGCACACAATATCTATAGCTAATTTATATTTAGACCACATTTCAATAAAACCAAAATGGGTCCTACAAGTTCCTATAAACAAATCTTCCAATGAGTTAATGCCAGTCAGTAAAATATTTTAAAAAGTAAAGGAAAACAAGTCCAATGTGAAGAACAGTTTTCTCAGTATGGTAAAATTATCTTCAGTGTTTTCTTGTGTTCCATTTTGTGGAAATTCTTTAGTAGGTGAAACTGCTTTCTAATGAGACTTGGAGTTACTCTAATCATACCACATCTAGATGTTAGGATTCTAAGCTACTGTTAAAACTGTTCCTCAGATTAGGCAAAAGGTTAGAGCAGTATCTTTGGACAGTCCAAAAAGGCTCTCCTTCAGTGTGGGTCCTTCTCTATGTTCCTATTTGCTTTGCATCCATTTTGGAAAAGAAATAGAAGAGCAAGAGATGGAGATGAAACCCAGGACAGGTATAGGAAGCTGGGGGGATGCTCTGAAGTAACATGAGAAAAGCACAGCAGCTCTCTTTGCATATTTGATGGGCTGTATGTAAAGCAGGTTGTTTACTGAACCTAATTAACTATGGAGAATAGATCACTTTCTAGCTCTTCATTTCACAAAACCCAGCTAAGAATCTTCAAGGTATGAGATTGAGAGCTGAGACCCTAAACCACAGCAGGCCCTGTAGAAGGAATTCTTGTTTCTAAAACCTGTGTCATTCCTTTAGTGCCAAGACTGATTTTCGTTCTATACTAGAACATTCTCATACCTTTATTTCTCCTTCTTACTTGTTTATGCCGCATCCTTCTTGGCAGAGGAGCTCATCTGTAAAGAGTTCACTGCTCTAAATGCATTTGCTTTCCTAGTCATCATTCTAGAAAGTTTGGGTTTGCTTTGCTAAGATTTTCATAGAGCCCCACTCCATACACACACATCCCATAACCAATGAGATTAAAGATTCCCACGTATTGAATGACCTGTTTGTTGTTTAAGCAGTCTGCATCTTTTTATTTGTCTAGTTGTTCTTACTAAAGAATCCAGGTAGAAATTAAAAATGAATACTGGCATCTATGAATTTGTGGTTTTCCATATATGATAAGCAATAAATTCTTTGCATGTTTAATATATTAGCCTATTGTTTGGGCTGAATCTTGGGATACCAGGGTTAGAAAAGATTATGCCCCTGTCCTCAGTAAGTCTCAATTATTTCTAATCTATGTAATAGTCCTATAGGACTAAATTTGAGTATTTCATCCTCCTGACAAATAAAAAATTAGAAAGATTAGGGTCTACCTCAGTCTCAGTGGGTTGGATATGGAATCAGATTCAAACTTGAGGATTTAATCATTTCATTCCGCCACCCTGACTGTTGTTTTAGCAGAAAAGCAGTTGCATTGGGACATCTGGGTCAATTAAGCATCAGTGTATATCATAGCAAAAGAAGAGCTTAGCAAAAATGCTTTTGAGAGCAGCAATAAGCATACCTTCCCTTTCTCGTCAGCTAGGCCTGGAGAAGTGAGCAGCTTGCAAAAGTTTGCAAGTGCAGGACCTACTGGAGGTAGTCCTTTTATAAAGTGTGGCAGGCCTGAGCACAACTGGGCCCTGAAACCATGTAAGGATGTGGGATATTCTGGTCCGTGTTTCCCTGGAAAGGCCAGGAAGACAGTGATACTTCCTAAGGTTATGAAAGAATATCTCACTCTGAAGTGCCTAGGTCCACAGAGTGTTGACAATTTTATTTGTATTCATACCAGATTTAGTTGTTAGCACCTAGCTTTTGTTTTAGCAATTGATACAACTTAAATTAAAATTCCAGCACCTAACCCAGTATGTGGCACATACTGGGTACTTAAATTGTTAAGTAAATGAATAAAAATAGGGACATTAAGAGTTTCCTTAAATGCTTGTTGATTCAGGCCAGAATGCTATGTCTTTCTATCATTCACTCCACTACCACTTTTCCTACCCCACGTGCCCATCCTGGCAAAACTCATCTTCTTAAGCTGCATGTGAAAAGGCCTGTTGGCTTTTATCTCGAGAGGATTAAGCCTCTAAGAATGTCCATTCAGCCTCTCATTCTTTTGGTCCAGCTGTGTTGAAAGTGGTTGCCTCACTGTGCCATTCCTTGCTGATATTTTTCAGCCAGCTGAAATACCCCAGGTCATGTACTGAGGCACCCATGGAGAATCTTGGCAGGTCAGCATCCACTTGCAGGGTGTTGCTGGTGTTCTGACCACCACCTTCCCAAACATTACTGCTTGAGTTTTACACCAAGCTGAAAAGGAGCTGGAACATACAATGACCAGGTTGTCATTGGTGACTGGATTTACCCTGGGAGAAGGCTGCAGTGACAACTTTGGGCCACCCAAGTATAATGGTGTATAGCCTCCAGTATTGCAACTTTACTGTGATTTTTTTTTTTTTTTCTTGTCTTGTCCCAGTAGTGCTTTGCTCATAAGAATTAGTAGAGACATTATCTACTGTGCCTGGGTCAGGGAACTTCTGACATTTATGAAACCAAGAGAGCCATCATTTGCTACATGATTAACCGTGATAGTCAGCACCTCTGTCTCTAGACAGAAGTCAGCCTACAGGCACATATGCCATGGAACTGTTACCTGCTGTTTGCAATAGCAAGCACTCTTTTTTTTTTTTTTTCTTGTCTTTTTGGAAAGGGTGTCCCTGTTGCCCCACCTGGGCTAGAACTCACCATGTACACCAGGCTGGCCTTGAACTCAGAGAGATCCACCTGCCTCTGCCTCTCGAGTACTGGGTTTTAAAGTACACCACCATGCCCAGCAAGCACTCCTTATTACATTTGGGGGGGAACATTTAACATGAACATGAAAGAATAAAAGGCACCTTTCTGAGGAGTGCTGTTGATTTGACATTTCTGCATACAAGGACATGAGCTAACTAAGGAGAGAGTCTGCCTTATAATGTACAGTAAAATTCCATGTGGGACTCGTATGATGAGTCAATTCAGAATTCCTGAGAGTATACCTCAACATAAAAGTTTTATAATACATCCAAGTCAGTTTTCAGGTTTTAAGTGTATGAGTGTATCGCCTGCATGCATGTAAGTGTACCTGTGTCATGTATCCCTGTAGAGGTCAGAGTAGAGCATTGAATCCCCTGGAACTGAACTTAGGATGGTTGTTAGCTGCCATGTGGGTGCTAGAAATCAACCCTGGGTCCTCTACAAGAACAACCAGTGCTTCTTAACAGCAGTTAAGAAACCGCTGAGCCATCTCTCCAGGCCCCAGTTTCCAGGTTTGAGAATTATAGACTGGGAGTCTCAAAGCTGGGAGAGCCCCTGTAGGTCAGGTTGTAAAAGGATCTTCATTTTGCACAGGTGACTCAAACTGAGAGCAAAGGTTTGGATTTAGATATTTTGATGAAATTGGGAGTCAAGGAGAGCATCATTTCTCTAGCACTGCTATAACAAAGTGTCATGAACTTAACTAGGCATGGTGATGTACACTTGTAGTCCCAGTGGCTCAGCAGGAGAATCATTTGAGCTAATGGGAGGCCACCCTGGGAAACAAAATTTCCAAAACAAAAACAAGGTGCCACCAACTTAAAATAATGGAATTTGTTTGTCACAGTTCATGATGCAATAGGCCAAAGCCAAGGTACAAGCAGGCTCATGTTCCTCTGCTGGTTCCAGGGAAGAATTCTTCTTCATGGTGTTCCCAGCCTCTGGTGGCTCTGGCTTGTGGCAGCCTCTCTTTGGTATTTGCTTCTGCTTTCACATTACCTCCTTTTCTGTGCCTGTGCCTGCTCCTCTTACCAGGAAGACATCAACCATTGAGCTTAGAGCTCACTGGACATGCAGGGAGAATACATCTAGCCCTCTATAAGAACCTACTTCCAAATAATGTCACATTCTGAGATTTGAATGGATGGAGAATTGGGGGTAGGGGAGGCACTATTCAACCCACTCACTATAGGGTGTCTGTGTTTTCTTTAAAATTTACATTTATAGCATCCAGGCTACCTCATACCCATTATTCCCATCCCTTCTGTTGGTAATAAAGATAATGTTATTATTTCTGATTCTTCCCATCCTAAGAATTATGGGGTATAAATTGGCTAAAACCATTTTTGTAAACCATTTTTGGGCTGTGGTTATGGTTCAGTGGTACAGTACCTGCTTAGTTTGCTTGAGACCTTAGTCAATCCCCACAGCACTGAAAAAAAAAATGGTAAAACCATTTTTTGTAAATCTTTTTGGTGTTGTGTTATGGTGTAGGTGTTAAGTACCTTTGTTGTTTGCTTGAAACCTTTGGGTAAAACCCCAGCACAGAAAAAAAAAAAAAAAAAAAAAAAAAATTTCTGAAAAGCTATTGGATTATACCAGTTAAATACAGCTTTTATTCAAAATCACTCAAGCTTTGAAAGTTAAAGGTCCTATGAGTTTGAGAGCTGACAATTCACCTCCCATGGTTAAACAATGATAAGTGACAAGCAGTGAGGTGGTAAGTTTTTGTAGGAAGTACAGTTACCCCTCAGTATAAAAGGGGATGGGCTCCAGGACCCCCTTGGATATCACAATCCAAGGGTGCTCATGTCCTCACATGAAATGGCTTAGTATTTGCATATAGCCTGCATAATCCTTCCACATGCTTTAAATCATCTCAGGATTACTTTTAACACATAATACTATGTAAATGCTGCATGAATGGTATGCTATTTAGGAGATAATGACAAGCAGAAAAAGGTTTGCCCATATTCAGTACTAACACATTTTTCCAAAATATTTTTAATCCATGTTTGATGTTTGGCTCTTCGGATACGGAACCCAAGGACACCAAGAGGCCGATATAGTACCCTCAGAAATGTTTCAGTTCAGCTTGGGAGCAGCCATGAAAGGTCAGTTACAAGCCTGGCATTTATTTTCAGGTTTGATTGTTGAGTTGTTCCATAAAAATTAAAACTGGAATGTAAATCTTTCTGATGCTGCCCCAGGCTACTCATGGGAGTTGGGGGTTTTCTTTCTTGTGTATCAGCGGTCTCAGAGCACAGAGACAAAGCTTAGCAGTGAACTCGCTGGTACAAGTCTGCTGATGGACTGGAGTTTAGCACCAAAGTCTGGATGTGAGACGTCTCACTGTGGATCCAAGCCTGTGCAGCCCACAATCATATAGTCTTTTGTGACCTTTGAAGTCTTAAATAAATGCATGAATTTTCTGTATTTTCTGAGTCACCTATATCTGATTTTCTTTTTCATTTTCATTTGAGCAGATTATTGGATAAATGATTTCTCAGCTTTCAGTGGTAATATTTACCTTCTGAATCAGTTTTAGAAATATTGTCTTACGCTTTTTATTTTACTTTGCAAAAGCAACTGAGTTTGCTTCACCAGCAATACATGATGAACTTGTATATA